TAAACAGCTAGATACATATTCCTTTGAGTTTAAGTTCATGGATAAAATTGCAGCCACTCCATGTACACAGGGTATTCCAGTCAACTGCCATCTCCTGCATCCAAAAGTCCTTCTGACTAGGTCAATTGCATACTTGTCATTACATAATACCACCTCAAATTGTTAATATCTACAAGGGTACAGAACCCAGAATCTATACATAAACATTAAACAGGTAATGTCACACCCCAAAACCGGAACGATAGAAACATTCTGGGGTGGAGGACGTCATGTACAGTATCGCAATGATGCATAATAGTAAACAAGAAACAACACCGTCCATTGCATTAATAATATAATTCAATACAAGTGTGTTCTGTGTATAGTTTATAAGACACCAAAAATGAATAATAAAAAATAAAGACGAGTCTGAAAGTGCTCCATCTTCTCAAAACCTGCCATCGGTATCTGTCTATTGATGATATGAGAATACAAGTTATTTTGAAAGAGTTTATCAACATTAAAACTGGTGAGTTCATAAGTATTTAGTGTCATTTGTTTGTATAAGTTTGAAGCAAATTTTTGTAACAGTATAATGTAAATGTTTGTACTTCCTAGAAAATCCTATATTTTCTACTGAAATGTAGTCTTCTACCAAGACCCGATTGTTCTGTATGTTTGTTCCTTTGTATAAGTAATATTTTTCCAAGCTATAACTATCCTTATCAAAATATAGTTTACATTATCATTTATGTGAGAAGATCACAAAGTAAATGCAATAGGGAAATAATGTAGTACTGCAGTATTGTATATAGTAACTACTGTTGTACTAACTACCTTAAATCAATTATTAAATAAGGTAAAATGTGATATGTTGTAACCATACTTGATTGACTAGTGGAAACACGACACTGAAATACGTCGAAAATTTATGACATTTGTCACCCGTAGACCTATAGGACCCACTGTAGCTAGAAACAAGGTGTAGGATGGTCAGTCCAGTATAGATCTATACACAAATTCATGCTCTCCCTCCAGGAGACTCTAGTTACAAAATGAGACACAACAGTGATGCCATGCCCCGACGTAGTGGCTCACATTTATGTTATAGTATTCTTGTATATGTATTGTATGCTCTGTCTGTATAGTATATAGTATGTTCTCTTAGTTTCTCATCATAGTATGTTTTTTCTATTTCTCATAATAGTAAGTTTGTATTGACTCATATATGAGCTGACTCATGTATGTTTCATTGTACTAGAAATAATGAATAGTAATCTCCTAAACTATACCTATTATAGTTTACTAGTAATGTTGTTTGAATGACTGAGTGTGATTTATACACCTTTGCTACACAGAGGTGTTGAACTTGAGGTAAAAGATTTTATATCTATATACATATACACAATATATAACTAAGGTTCAAACGACATTCGGACAAACAACCTAATACTCCAAGTCCACAACCAAACAAGGAACATGAAATAAAGCGGGTTATCAGTCCTAAGTCCTTTCAATCTTACTTATATAACTATATCTATATAAACATGTTTTTGACAATATATAAGTTAAAAGAGTTTGATAAATAGATTTAACACAAAAGAGTTTGATAAAGATGCTTTGAAATAGATGTTTGATAACACAGTTTGAAAGTATAAGAAATCTATCTATTTGTTCTAATTATTAATCACATGCGATTAATATAATAACTACAATGATTCAACTTGTATTCCCCCCATAAAAGCATTTAAAATCATTTAAAAGGTAGATTAAGGGTTATGAACTCACCTGTAGTGAGTGGTTTGGATGAAAGAGTGGTATAGGATGCTAGGTGTCAAGTGAAGACTTAAGCACACACACAGATCCTATTTAGCATATAATGACACATATATGTATAAAATTAGTGTTTGTCCAACTAATCAGGTAAGGGAAACACCTTAGGGACTAGGTTACACTTGAATGGAAAGGTAAAAATCACAAATGATTGTGTATAAGGTGAGTTTACGGCCATACTTGGTGTTTGCGGCCAAGTGTTCACGACCCTAGTGATCACGGCCACATGAGTTTACGATCGTAAACTCATAATTATCAGTTCTAAATGGTGTTTTAAGGTCTTACAAACCACAAGGAAGTGTTCTAGCCTCAAGTCCAAGCCTTAGGAAGAGTTTAAGGCTCATATGCACCTCTAACTAGGGTTTACGGCCAAGGGAGATGCTCTTGTCCGTAAAAACCTATTGTTCTTGGGAAATGGATGATTTCAAGGTGTTTAACATGTGTTTCAACTATATATCAAGTATAGGGAAGTAATACTTACGATATAGAAGCTAAAAAGGTTGATTTTAGACCAAAACACTAGTGTGTGTTGTTGGTGTTTCTTGAAGATCTAGCCCAAAAGATGATGTTAATGGATGGAATCAATGGGTGATGCTAGTTAAGAAGATGTAGTAACTAATCAAGGGATAAAACACTTACATTTTTGAAGAAAAATGAAGATCCTTGATGATAGTTGAGAGAAAAACCCGATTTCTTGAGTTAGGAGTGGTAAAAGTGTTGAAAAATGGCCAAGTATCATATATATAGCCAAGAGTTTATGGCCACCATGAGTTTACGGCCATAAACTCATGTGCCTTGGCCGTAAACTCCTTATAAAGGGGTTTATGGCTTGTTTGTTGGTTTTGAACTTCAGTTGACACATCCTAACACTTAATCCTTTGATATACTAGGCTTAGAATGCTCAAACAGATTCTAAACAGTGCTAAAAGTTAGCAGAAACAAGTTTGAATTTGACTGAACTGAATGGTTGTACAAGATAGAAATTTCGGCTTATCACATGTAAGAACACATGAACTCATGTATAAACATTAACAAGTAAATACAAACATTCTTACCTTTGTTTCTCCTTCAAACGTAATATTTTCCTCCTAATGCTTGGGCATATAGTTAAATCCCAAGACTCTCCCTTACTCCTCTGACGGTATAACCTCTGCATCACATAAACCCTTCTATCCTCCAAGATTGCTATTATTGGTTTATGTCTAGCATCAACTATTTCAGCATTAAAAATCTATGAAATTCCATTTTCCACAGCATCACAAAATACTCCTTCTTCTTGAAAATCCATGTAATAACATTTAGGGTCCCTCTCCATGAGATAATAAAATGGCCCCTGTCTAATTCCTTGATCTCTTGCATAGCAGCTTCATGTCTCTGTTTTGTGGTAGCCTTCACAGCTCTCCAAAAGTCCATCTGATATAAGAGTAAGCCCATTTCCATTGCCTCTGTCAATATTATGCATGAGTAGATCAAGAAACTGTTGGGTTTTGTACAAACAATCCTATGTGTGCATGCAACCCTAGAATTGGATCTATGTTTTCACTATCAGATACACAACATTATGAACACATAAAGAAACCCTAATACTAGCATATAAGTAATCATATTAACATAAGAATAGGTTTATAATATTACCTTGATTGTTATGTAGCAATAACAATCCCAAATCTCCTTGTATTGACTTTGGAAGGCTTGGAGTCACAAGTGTCACTCCTCTAATGGCTTACAAACACCAAGAGCAAATGGAGAAGGTATAAAGAGAGAGGAGAGAGGTTAGAATTCATCCTTAGGACTCCTTGGGAACAAGTACACGAATTCTAAGGCCTTATGGTCTTTATATAGGTGTAGAGATAGGGTTTCAGTCATTATCCTTATCTAGTTGCTTATCCACAAAGCAACCATAAGATAAGTCTTAGAAACCCTTATCCTAGTCGAATTCTAAGGCATTATCACCATAAATTCATTCACCATATATTTAAGATAATCCTTACCTTATTTTGTAACTATCACATAATTACAATTCAGCCCCTCTAGTTTAATTAATTACACTTGATCACAAAATTAATTCTTAATTAATTATTGACCAATAATAATTAAACAAATATAATTTCTCCTTTAATATATTATTCTTATAACATATTAATAAATCATATTATCCTCTCTCTCTCTATATATATTTCTCCAATCAAGTTGCTTCGGTGAAGGCAACCCAAAAGGACCATGCACCATCGGGTCAAGTACATACCAAAATAGTTATGGACTTAGACACTAATCCAACAGAAACCATGTCCACGTTTCTTTGTTCTCAACAGTTACAACAGCCCAAGATAGGGGGAACATGTTGTTATTGGAAACCCTACCTACGGAAGCTAAGAGTTCACCCTTGCAAATTCCTTTGAGAAATCATCCATCAATCCAAATGATTTGTCGATATCCTTCTACCCAACCATCTATTACACCTTTAAAGCATACATACAATCGTTTGAACATTAGACTTCCATCAAGGGTATAGTCAACTTCCATATTTACATTTGATCCTGGATTAGCTCTTTTGATTTCTATGCTATAGTCCCACAACCTACTATAATGCTCTTTTAGAGTGCCTTCTATCTCAGACAATGCAAACTTTTTTGCATTTCTATATTACCTAATGCTAACTATGATATTGTATGTGCTTGAGATTTGAGCTCTCATCTTCCTCAAACTAATCCTGGGGTTTTCCAAAAGTACATTGAAATATTGTTTCCCTATTAATTCGCAAGTCACTAACCATATTTTAAAAACTCTACCACAATTATGACTTGATATAAGTGACTTAATCTGAAAATTCCTTTCCTCTTGAATCCAAGAAGCCCACAACCGAAAAGGACATGTAGGTTCTTTATCTTTGCAACACTTCACTAAAAGTCTGTTTTTATCATTCTTTTCATACCACAAATCATAACCATGCTTAACAACATAGTTGGTAATACATTGTTTAAGTTAAGTTGAATTGGTGAATTTCATACCTAACATAGGAGCCATTTCATCCCATTGCTGCTCAGAATTGTGCACAGGGTATACAGGTGGTAGTTGCTCAATGTAGACACTTCTTCTTCTTCTTCAACATTTGGGAACCTGTCTTTCTTCTGAATAGTTGATGTTTCCCTTTTCATCGAAAAATCCTCATCATCCACCTCGTGTTCCCATCACTCTTTATCTAGTAACATTGAATCAACATCTTCATCTGCATTGGAGTTAGTATCATCTTCAACTTCAGGCTCTTCCATTTCAATCCAGTCAAACAGGGGTTCATGAAAATGGTCCACATACACAATTACTTTCTTTTTCTCATGAATACACTCAAGAAATTCATGGTAATCACATTTGTTCTGCAATGTGGCCAATCCTTGACACAATGTTTGGCCATCTGGACAATAGTATACATCTTTGTACATTCCTCTAGTAATCTTGTTGAGGTAAGCAATGAATTCAGCATACCCATTCTCCCTAAAACCGACGTACATTATCTCTTTTTTATCTAGATCAAAATAGATAAATGGCTTGTTGATGGACATCCCGTTGTACTGGACTTCAACGACCGATGTATCATCTTCAGCCATCTGATCGTGGATTGATCGAAGTAAGATCAGTGGCTGGGGATGATCGAGTAAGAGTGAAGAGAAAGTTATTGGGGATTCGTCTTGCCCTAATTTAAGGAGACGAAATATATATTAAATGCCACCTAATAATCCACGTAATGGTCTAATAGCCACGTATCACCCGTATATAACATGTATTCACTTTGTAACTGGTTAACATGTAAAAAAATATTTTTAAACGGTAATAACAACCTTAGTGACCTAATGCACACAAAAAAAACCTTGGTGACCTAATGCGGACAAACTATAAACCTAATTACCCTCTTAAGTTATTAACCCTAAGTACAAATATAGTCCAAAGGGTTGAGCTTGTTAGGGATTCAATCGACTGAAAGATATGAATATAAAGAAAACAATAGCATTACGTGGTTTACACGATCACTCTAATCATAGAATATCCACAGATGAAGTAGAAGGATATATTAGTGATACCAAATAAAGTTTACAAGTACATTTTGTTTTTATATAAAGCTAGGGAGATACAAAAGAAATCGTGTCCATACAATATGTGATACCAACATAGTATCACTCATGGAGTGGTATTTGTGTTCTTCTCATTCACCTAATTTGATGTGAGACACCTTTGATACTCTCCACAATCAATCGGTCTCGACAACTCATCAATATCTCATTTGGAGGATGATCAACAAATCAACTGCCACCAAAAGCATTTACCTCTTGTAAACCTCTTCTTTTCCAGTGGAGCGCGTGTGGTTAACCGACACACTAGCTTGATTTAACAAGGTAGGCAAAGGGTAACTTAATGTTTATCATAGTTTCGGTGGAGCGCGTGTGGTTAACCGGCACATCGATTGAGTGATAAATATTAAGGGTACCAATTATATTTGAATGGTTATTCACACCTTGTTTTGTGATCCTCGACATCCTAGTCAAAAAACTTGAGAGGGCACAATCGAGATTGAAACATTCTATTGAAACGTTCAATGAATCTCAAAAGATCTTGGAGTTTCAAATCCAATTAAAACATAATAAATTATTTCATTTTCATGGTGGAAATTGGTGATTCGTCATTCACCTACCTTCAAATATTTTATAGCTTGGACTACAACATCCCTCTTCCAAGTTATAAAATATTGTGTTGGGTCCTAGCTTTAATATTTCATATTAGGTGTCATATTAAGGACTTTGAATCAACTAACTTGAATATCTCCCATATTAGATGTTTGGTTTAGATATCTATGATCATCCCAAATCCCTTGGAAGAAGCTTTCCTAATGAAGATGATGTTCCATGGTTGGATAATGGAAATCATACTTCTCTACCTCCACCTCCTCCAATTATTCTCCCTAACCCACAAAGTTCAAGGTCACTTTAGCCCTATTAGTAAGCAAGGTCTATGTGTGCTCACATCTTGGAGATGAAGTCACATATTGACAAGCTAGGAGAGTTGGGTGTGAAAGTCTTGAGAAAGTTGGTTGTTCAAACACTTTCTAAGTCACGTAGTGAGTCCCTTTGGGACTACTATGAAACACACTGTGACATGACCCTTAATGATCTTAGCTATTTGCTTGGTGTTGCTGAATCAGTAATGATTTGGAGGACTAGTAAAGCAAATTTGATTAGAAGATCAACTTCCCGAACCTTTAATGGACATTGACAATGGTGACATTGGAAATCCAGAAAGCATTTTTCTTCCCAATGGAAAGGGATCGGCCATAGTCAACTTGGTTGACCAAATGGTAAAGAGAAAGGCTAAATCTAAGATAGTCCCATGTACCATTACCAAAGAGTCCACATGTTTCTATTGCCAAAAGGAAGGGGAATTGATTGCGAAGCTGCCCTAATTACTTGAAAGATCTGAGAGAAGGTCAAGTAAATTTTTTTTATTCTACTTCAGCTAAGTCCACTATCTAACTCTCTTAAGTTCTTATTTGAAGGTTCTTAATACATTTTGATGTAGGGCAGGATCAAGCAAAAGCAAGGAAGCTTAAAAGAAGAGTACGCTGAATCTGATCGCGAAAATGGATTTCAATCGCATAGTTCGAAGATCGAATTCTTGAGCTGCTACTTAGGAGTTATGATAGATTGCTAGGAAATATGTTATAACATAGTTTCCATTTAAAGTTGCATTGTGAGGAAAAAGTTTTTTTTTCCACATTTTATAAATAAATAAAAATTTGATTTTATTTTAGTTTATATCTCCTTACAATGGCTTTTATTGAAAAATTGATATTTGTATGTTTCTAGCAAAAAATCAAATGTGAATTTGATTCTTTCATTTGTGATAATGTCTAAATTTACCAAATAAGGAAAGATTCTCATCACCTAAGTTTCAATTGGACCGTGTAACGCCCGGGTTTTCAGGGCTAAGCATTTTTGTCAATGTAATAGTCTAGGTCAACTATTGTAACTCTTTTTGAAGTAATAAATATGAAATATTTGAGTATTATGTGAATTATGTGTGTTTATGTGTTTATTATTTAATTATAAATGTATAATTAATAAAGAATAAAAATGAGCGTCAAAATTAAAGTGTGAGATAATCCCGATATCTCTACATAAAGTTGTAGAATATGTCTCAAGGTTTCCGTACATATAAAGAATGCCGAAATCCGAGCTATAACGAAGAAGTTATGGCCCGCCGAAGTTTTACGGCAAAACCGGCACGACACCGGGAGACGTAAATAGTGAATTTATGATAGAAGACTTTTTAGCCTTAGCAATCTAAACAAAAGTCGTAGAATATGTTAAACTAAGAACATCGATAAAAAGAACGCCCAAATCTGACTTCGTATGAAGAAGTTATGATTTTTCTAAGATTCGGCTTAGCAGTGCACGGCCTGAAACTCGAATTTTAGTTCGAGCGGTTTTTGGCTTACGCAACGTAAATGAGAGTTGAAGATCTCATTAATAGGAAATCAACGGTAAAAAGACAGACAAAAACAGAGTCCGTATGTAGAAGTTATTAATTTTACGCAGACGTTTAACAGTATAATCTCCTTGTACTGTTAAATTTAAGATCGGTCGAGAATTAGCTGACGGTGTCAAAATGAAAGTTGTAGATCTTATTATTACCTACGCGTGGATATAAAGAACGTCAAAAACGGAGGTCGTATGTGAAAGTTACGGATTTTAGAAGTCGGAAGTGTGCTGTGCGAAAATGGGTGATGTGGCACAATCTTGGCCATTGCTTTCTCCCCAAGGCTTGCCACCAGATGGTGACATGTGGCACCAAGTTCAGCCACATTTCACCCTATAAATACCACCTCTCCCACCCTCATTTTCTTCACACCTTTCCCATTCTTTCTTCTCTTTACTCTCTCTCTCTCTAGAACCTCTCTCTAGCCCCGAAATCCCCCGAAAAGCCTAGGGAACCTCCCTAGCACGAGGCGGAAGCCCCGGAGTGCTCGAAGGCTCTGAGAAGAAGAGCTTTTCGGCTCGGGAACGCTGCTCCAAGCAAAGCCCGGTTTTCTATAAAACCCGCTGTAAGTGAGCTACGCCTACGCTATTTTTAATATAACTTTTATTTAATTATAGTAACGTTATTAGGAACTTATAATAAATACTTGGGCTATTATTATGGGTTATATAAGTATTTTTTTACGCTTATATATAATAATAATAATAATAGCTAGACTATTAATTAGTCTCGACGAATAATAAACTAAACTCTAGTGGTAATAATACTAGGTTTCGTCGAAGAAAAATTCTTTTTAAGAAGCGAAGCGCTGTCTGAGTTCGGAATCACCACCTTTTCCGGTGAGTGCATAGTTACTTTCAGCTTACACATAGATATGAAGTATTTTATATAAATTACGTGCTATGTGTGCATATTATCTGAATACTTGCTATCTACGTTAGATGAACGTTGTTATACATGTTTTCAATGATTTAAACTGTATATGTATTTTATATCTACGAAAATGTTGGGGTAAAACATGGGTAGATGTAATAGGTGATGTGTGATAAAATGATGAGAGGCCTCGATGTTGTTGTTGTTGATCCAGTCATCTAGCGGAGTATAGATGACGACCACGGACTCTTCTAGACAGTCCAGTGGAACACTAGCAGGCTCGCAACCTGTAGGTGTTGTGAACGATGTGTTCACCGGTGTACTCCATCCCCCACATGGTTGCCTATTAGGACATTTATTGCTGAGGAATCCCCTTAGCAGTAGTGTTCGTCCCGATGATGATCCTTAGGCTAGGTCCCTTATGATAGGTGTTTAGGGACGTAAAGTGAGGATAACGGGAACGGGTAATCGGGTTATTGTTGATTGATGAAATTAATAAACTTATTTATTGTGGGTTGAAAACCCTATGTGCTCACCAGGCTCCCAAGCCTGACCCACTCAGTTTTATGCATTACAGGTAGTGGCGCATGAGCATAGGTGTGATGTTTTGGACGAGGGATTACGGATATAGGCCTGTAGATATGAAATAATGTAGTAAGGCTTATATTGTACTGTTTATACTTTTGATCTGTACGAACATGACATCCCGAGTCTTTTAATGAAATACATTTCTATGGAAATGCTTTTGATAAATCTTTATCATATTATTGTTTTGGGACAAATTCCGCAACCCTTTTATTAAAAGATAACTCTGATTTTGAAATAAAGTATAAACAAAACCGGTCTTTTCTGGCCGTGATTTTGGGGATGTCACAGTTGGTATCAGAGCATTAGTTTAAGCGAACTAGGAATTTGTAGGATTTCTAGACTTAAACTTAGAATGCTAAGCGATGATTGTGAGGTGTGAGTACTAGCTTATTTTAGGAATTGTGCCTAAAATGCTTTTATGTGCTAAATGCTTTATGCATGATATGCCGTTATTTTGTTCGGATCTATGGTCTGTTGCCGACGGATCTGGAAACCTTATGTGTTTAGGATTCTAAATGTACGACTACGATATTAGAACTAGCATGTAAACGTTTCGGAGTGATAAGGACGATTTAAAACGTCTCTCCTAAATAAAGATCTGAATTCACCTTATTCGGTG